TAGTAGTAGTAGTGGTAGCAGTGGTAATAACCATACCAGCAATATCAGCGCTTCTCGTCGTCGTTGTCGTCGTTTAGAATGGTAGCTGTAGAAGCCGCAGCTGGGAACCCACCGAAAGCCACAAGCAGTGCTCAGGATGCCGGCGCCCAAAGTCGATCTCTCCGCCCCTCGGTTCAGGGTTAGGGACGGTTAGGGGTTTCGGGGTTTGGGTTCAGTGCATCAGGGTTTGCAAGTTTAGGAGTTTCCGGGGTTTTGAGCCGCTTAGGGCCAGTCTGGGGTTTATGTCATGGCACGGAGCTCGCAGATGTATTGATACTCTTTCGGCTGTACCAAGACATGGCTTTACTTCTCAAATTAGACTCGACATCGAACTTGAGCTCTTGAGCCAAAACCAAGACAAAGCTCTTTCTTAATAATCTAGGCGCCCCAATTCTTACCCCAAGTCCGAAGAGCTTGCTACGATTAGCATTCGAGGTTTGTACTCCTACTAGTAGGGCCGTGTCGGGGGCCTTTTCTCCAACGCCTTTGACTCTAAAGCCCTTCAGTCTCTGGCTTCTATAGAAGGAGAAAGACTACATTCGTATGTAGATAGATGCATAGATATGATACACACATAGCTTAGATGTGTGTGAACACGTATATGCCCATGTACATTATACATACTTACTTGTATGTTGTTTTGGTCCGTTATGTATTCTATACATGTGTGTGTTAGCTTTCGTTGCGAGATACAGGCCACAGGAGCATTGAAACGACAGGTTGCGGCTTCAGGGTTAAGTGGCTTAGGATGGCAGGTGCTCACGGCAAAGGAGAGACATGTCTACTTGCAGCGATCATGGTAACGAACGTCTGACGAGCAGTTACTCCTTCCTTCGAAGCAAACAGGTTTCGACCTAAACCAAATGCTCCCAATCGCCCGAGTGTAGCCTCCGCACTTCTTGCTTCCAGGTTTGGGGCCTGAACGACTCGCAGCTGAGTGCGGTTACGTTTGCCCTGCAGAATCCCTTCGCGTGCCTAAGCGCGAAGTTTAGGCAGTTCGGAATTGGTTTGGAAACTTCGGGAGTTTGGGCTTTCAACTTTCGGGATTTGATTACATGCGCATTGTCTCTCTGTCTGTCTGTCCGTCCGTCTGTCTGTTTGCTTGTCCATTCATCGTCAACGGTCACGTATGGTGGGAGATGTTTGCAGAATATGGGGCCTGTGTCCGTGAATTGCACAGTGACCAATATGTGCACATGAGATCATGGATCCATGCACCACGAGAGGACGGGACGAATCCTCGCTCGGCCGGGTTCTGGGCGGGTAGGGGAGATGCACAGCTTTGAACGTGCCAATACAGCCGCTTGTACTTTTACAAACATACGGACATACATACTTACATGCAGACGTACATACATACAAACATACAGGCATATATCCGTGCATATGTACATAGGTACATCGGTACATAAAACACCTACATAGACAAGTACATAGCTATAAGTATACACATGGCCAACTGCATATGCATACACATGAACATATACATATGCATATACCTATGGCTATAAATATAAATGTACACATACATACATAGATAGGTACATGCTGCAGGCATGCATACACACATTCATGCATGCACATGCATGCATGCATGTACATGTACAGGTATACACATACATATGCACTTACATCTACATACTTACACTTCATACATACGGACATTTCGACATACATACACACATAGACACGCAGACACACATGTAGGTACACAGGTGCGTACGTCCACGCATGCATGCACGTGTTTGTGGGTTTACGCACAGACACGGCGCATGCCTGTGCCTCTAAACCATGAACCACAACGGCCGCGGCTGGTAAGGTTGGTCCAGGGCCCGCCAGGAACGGGCAAAACGATGACCACAGCTGTTGCTTGGTGCACCTCATACCCTAAACGAGAAAGCCTGAAAGTTCAGTTCAACTCAGAGGTGGAGAGCAGAATCGCCGCGTAGAGGCTGAGCTGTGCTTTCGAGTATGAGGGTGTTGGATGTATGCGAGGAAGCCCTCATCCCAACAGATGAAGCCGTGCCTGCTACACAGTAAGAGACACAAGTTGCAAAGGAAGCCAGCTGAAAAGAGGTCATCGGTAGTTACAGTCGGGGTTTAGGGTTCAGGGCGTTGGTATCCTTGGCTCATGACTTAGGGTTTAGGGTTCAGGGTTTCTCCTCTCAAACCCAAAGACCCCGAATCAACCGTGAGGAAGCTGACGAGCTGACGGGTTTGAGGATGGAGGGTGTAGGGTGCTGGCTAACCCGAGCCCACTTACCCATACCGTGGGCTACTAACCCGTATAGTACCCATAATAACCATGTCATAGGTACTCTTAAGCTACCCAGAGAGCCCAATACCCCTTAATTAAGGAATATACCCTAAATCACAATATTCAGGCCCCTTTACTTTACGGTATATTCCTTGTCTAAGGGGTATAGGTACTCTTAGGCTAAGTACAGCGAGCTTTAGGGATCAGGGCAGAGGCGCTCGGGGAAGGGGCCATGTGAAGGACCGGTGATAGGAGAAGGTGTCGAGCTGAAAGGAACGGTTTAGGGTTCAGGGTCTAGGGTTTGAGGTTCAGGGTTTGAGGTTTAGGGTTTAGGGTTTAGAGTTTGGGGTTTAGGGGTTTAGGGTTTAGGCTTCGGGTGCAGCTGGGAGTTGCATAGCAGAGCGAGCAACCATCTAGCCCTCCAATCTTCAATCTTCATAGAGTTGCCTACCATTCAAATTCCCCCAGTTGAACCCCTAGCCCTAAGCCCTAGCCAAGCCCGTAGCTTGTAGCTGCAATCCTCAGTTTCAGGTCCTGGCAACCTGCTTCGCAAGGCAGAACATGGCTTCAGGCGTCGGTAGGGACGACCATCGCAGTAATGGCTCAGTGCTGCAAATATTGGTCGCCTTGTTGATGACGCTTTGGGGGCTCCCTACCCTAAACCCTAAACGACGTCCGACGTGAGATGTTAATAGACTTATATGACGTCAGCGGACAAGCAAAGCGGATCAGATCGAGTAATATGTGTTTTTTTGTTGAGGTGCTTCTTCCTGTTCACCGGCAGAACCATGTCTTTCGACTTTACGTGATGTTCGTGCACATACTACTTCTGTATGCCCATTTTTGGGAAGTTAATAACTAATGAAGATGACATCCCTGGATTTCCTTGACTGTCATGGTATTATGCACAGCATGCTACTGCTGCCACCAGATGACCACAAACACAAGAATAAGCCCAGCCTTCTTACCTACCAACACTGAGGGAAAGTATCAACCCCAGAGACTTTGATGCGATCACTTCAGAGGGGCGTGAATGATTACCTATATTGTTTCTTGGGGGGGGGGGGGTCCTTATTATATTTTTAGTATAATGGTTAAGGTCCCTACATTACAGCAGCTAGACCTAAGTTTGATTGCAACTGAGGGATGCGGTTTGCCGACTTTCTATCACGGTTCCTGTGACCTTTCCGTTGAGGGTTCCTATAATTAGGGTTCGGTTCATAGGTTTCGGCTCTATGGTTGAGGGTTTGGGGTTTTAGGGTTTACGGTTTCGGGTTTTAGGGTTTAGGGTTTAGGGTTTTAGGGTTTAGGCATTGGGTTTAGGATTGAGGGTTCTGATTCAGAATCCTCATTTTCCTCTCGGCACAACACAGCCTACCGTGCGTCGGACAGCAGATACGAGCTTGTAAGAGCTACCAGCCGGCCGGCGGTTCGTGATTGGGATATAGTAATCCTTGTTAGGGTGGTTCTTCTCGTGATGGCTGTGTGCGTTTTTGTTTCTCATTCGCGACTGGTTTTACTTCCCGACCCCCAGGCCGTGGCGCTCAAGCTTAGCCCCTTGGAAGGGGATTTGGCCCTGTTCTGGGAGTGGGCGTCAATATGGACATTGGAAGTCTGGGTTAGGGACTCAGCGACAGATGTTGCTTTTCAATATGCCTGTATTGTAGTTGCCCTTCTACACAGGAACCCCAAGTCTATAGTAGACGTCTAGCTAAGCACAGCAGACCTGACCTTGTAAAACTCGCAGATAATTTCCGATTCCGACATTGATCACGATGAGGTAATTCAGGGAGCATGGCTTGGGGGCTTTGCGCTGCGTTTCGATAGTTGAACCTAAACTCTGCAACTGATGCGGAAGACGTCAGCCCGAAAGTCCGGTTTGGCTGGGTCGGAAGTCTGTTCCTGTTACGGAAGACTAGGGGGTTGACCGAAGAGAAATGAGCCTTCATTGGAAAGTGAGGATTGACCCCTGCAGAGAAGGCTTGACTGGCCATCCGGGACATCCGCCGAACTTGCACGATTTTTTCGCAATGTCAATGCCGACGTACGCGATGGCTGCTTGGCCCGGCATTTCGCGCAACACAGGTATGTACGTGCCATGCAAGCAGACGTTCGTATTGGCAAGATTTTCGCACCAAGGTTGCTCAAGCTGTGACGTTGCTTTGAACCTGATATCGTCGCGGATTTCACCTTGTTCGGTGTATTACTGGTTTTAAACCTCATTTGGGGTTGAATAACGTTCAGTAGAATGCTCCACAGGGTCAAAAAGTGATGCCACCGTCTTTCAGCCAACTTTCATGCAGAAGCCCCAGGCCCCAAACCCGAACCAACTCCCTGGTGCACATTGCAACAGGATGGAGTTTGGGATTTAGTGCAAGCAGTCCGCAGCGAGGAATTTCATGCCGGGTGGGGACGGTGAACATGCGAAGCGATGACCCTTTCAGACGAAAGCGTTTGGACCACACTTTTGCTTGACGAGTAGTTGCACGGCCCGTGTGCAGACAAGCACAACTTCACATTGCAAACCCTTGGGAACCCAACCTCAGCCTGGAGGGGCCAACCGGGCCGTGTTGCTGTGCACGCCGACGCGGCTTTGACCTGCAGTTTATGTGGCTTCTGCTTTCCGCTGCAGCACCCGATGTTGTTTTCGTTCGCCGTGCTTCAAGTAATGCAATACTGGGAAAACGCAGCACCGGTGTTTCAAGTTTGGATGGCTGGTTCCTTTCCCCCGAGGCGCGGGGTGTAACTATTCAGGCGGTTTGTGCTATGACCAATCTAGACCTATACATGTAGCATCGTATAGGTTTGGGGTTATGAACATCGGATCATGCCATATCTGTCAAGCAAGTTCATGATTTTGGATTCGGAAGTTCGATGTTTCAAAACCGTGTAAGCATGGAAGTTCGCTGCTTTGGAGTTCCTGTGTGTGTTCGAGAAGCTCCGTTGGCACAATGTGCAAACTTCCAACAAAGTTACGCAGTTTCAATGTGGCTCCATAGTTTTGTAGCATCCTTAACTTATCAGCATCCGTATGTTCTACACCATCAGATGTTGAGAACGTTCGTCCAGCAACCAGTTGGGCATGTGACTCGTTCGGATTTTCCACTGTCAGCTAGAGGACCTGAACCCGAGACATCCGCAACTTGCAAACTTCGAGAACCTAGACCTCTCATTTTTGACCGTGAAAACACCCCGAACCTTGTGTTTTATTGTAGGAATATGGTGCTGCGCCTCGAAACTATGAACAGTCTTAGTCTTGTGCATTCAGGCTTGGTTTAGCATGACAAGGGTTTCAACACAAAGCTTTCTTTAGAAATGACAGGAATCGTGCTGCTGACTGCGCAGCGGCCTTCGTTGCACGCATATGCCAAAAGCAGTTCGGCAGCCGGTTTAGGATTGGCGGTCGTGCCTCCGTGGCTTTCGTCGGCAATCCGAAGTATCGATATATATATATATATATATTGATTCACCTCGGGCTTATCATGTTACTCAGGACGCACGTGATCATGTTTGCAGCATTCAGACTTCTGGTCATGTGTGCCACAACGCAACTGGATCCAGGTCCTCGTTCCGGGACGTCTCAATCTATATTTCGCTCAAGGGTTTTACGTGATCTGAATTAGAGTGACCCCTGGGCAGCGAGGCAGAAGAATGGCTCGGGTTCCTACTTTACTACTTGACGTAGGAATGTATTGCCAAGACCAGGACGTGGTGGCAGCAACGGCCAAAGACCGCCAACAAAAGTCGTAAAGGTAGATGTGCGGGCAAGAGCACTAGCAACCAGACGAGGCCTCAAGCCTGAAACGCATGCAGTTCGCTGTGACCTCCCTGCCTTGCGATGATCCACATCTAATACATTGTAACCTTGTAGTTTCAGGTCCCCCTGTCGAGTGGGGTCTTCCCTCCGAGTTGACATGTGGAAATCTCAACCCTGAAAGCGCCCTTGTAGTGGCATTGTAACCCTTCTAGAACCTTCAGTCCTTTAGAGTAACCCTCACTTACACTAAGCCCTGCATCGACATCCCAAGCCCGAGGCAAGTTCAGGAGTCCTGGTAAAACGCCTTGTTTTTAGCAGCAGCTTCGTAATTCAAGACAAACCCTCGCTTTGGGCGTATGAGGCTTACGGTTTAAAGTTTACATAATACGGTTTAAGATATCCGAGAAATACCTTTTGCTGCAGAACTTGCAGGTGAGCGTGTCTATGTATTGCAGGGCCGCTTCTGAGTTTGTGGAACATGACCATTGTTCATTATCCCTAAACCCCAAACCCTAAATTATAGATCAGCACGATTACCATTATCATCACTATCAGTCTTATTAGTAGTTTTATTGCTCTCGACGATGCTTCTAAGCCCCCTCGCAAGCCGTGTCCTGGAGAACCTCTACGGCTTAAGGTATTTCTGGGTTTAGGAGTTTAAGCTTTAGGGTGTACGGCTAGTAGAGTTTAGGGTCTTGGAGTTTAGGGTTAAAGGTGGATTGAAAATACCTGAAAGCTAGAACCCCCAAAATTCGCTGTCAAATCGTATCGAGTAGCCGAAAGCCTCGAACTCTACGTCTGAGCAGAAAAGTTACCTACATAGCAAGTTGCCGGGTTATGGGTACTATAAGGTTAATATAGGGTTCAAGGAGCAGTCGCCCACTAAAAAGGTAGCTGGGCTCCGAAGGCTATAGCCGTAGCTTTTAAAACCTGCACCCCAAAGCCTAAACCCTAAACCCTAACCCCCAAGGGGTTTAGGGTCTAGGCTTAAGTGTAACGCTGTCCCGAAACCCTGAAACCAGAGCCCCGCAGATCTCAGAGACAACGAGGCAAGCGGAGCTGCGACTGCATGAGCGCAGTGAGGTCGAGGGCAACGTGTGCGCCCGGGGCCCAGGAGTTTAGGGTTGGGGAGTTTGGGGTTTAGGGATTCGGAGAAGTTCAGAGGTTTCGGGTGCAGGTTTAGATGTTGCTTGTGGTTAGGCCTGAAGCCGTGGATACTCGCCCATTCTGGACTGTCTCTGGCCTTCATAGGCCACCCGAAACCCTTATTCTTGAAGGGAATCCGTATCAGGAGTCCTCAACACTATGGGTTTCTTACTGCCCAGGGCAACACAGACCCTAACAACCCAGGCCCCCCGAGACGTGACACCAATCACCCGAAGCGCTAAAAATAAATAAATAAAGATCTGTATATATATATATATATCAACCCTTAGTTATAGGACTGTAGTAGTTCTTATAGCGTAGTCACACTTGTCGCAAAGCTTCCATAGTGGTATTGTCTAACCCTGATAGTAACCCTATGACCTGAAAGTAGCCTTACACCCTAAACCCTATTATAACATACCCTGAACCCGCAAGACCCCGAAACAAACCCAAACCGTAAGCAACCCTACAGCCCCAAGCCTCGCACGCCCGAGGCCATCTGCCTCTGCTCGAAGCCGGACATGATAACTCTTTGCAGCCACGCCTTCCACAGACAATGCCTGCTCCAGGACGGAAAGGGCGCAGAGAGCTCAATACACCCCCAATTAAGGAATATACCTGAAGTCACAACATTCGTCCCCCCCGATAATTCAAGGTATAATCCTTACTTAAAGGGGTACTGGGCTCTACAGGGGCTCAGGCTTTACGGGTTCGGGTCCATAAGGCTCCAGGCTTCAGGGTTTAGGGTTTTCTGGGGCTTCTGGGTTTGGGGTTCACGTTTTGGTGCTGGTTTAAAAAGGCTCTTTCTATAGGGTTCCTAAAAGGGTACCGCTGAGGGTTTAGGATTTAGTGTTGAGAGCTTAGGGAAGAACCTCCTCTCCTTCAATTCTTCTCGCACACACGCATTGATGCTGTGATTGGGATCTTGGTTTCATGGCCCTCTGCTTTTACCGCTTGCGGTGTTCGGGTTTCTCATCAAGGGAGCTGGGACTTGAAGGCACGAGTTAGGATGGTCGAAATGTAGGGCCATGTATGGTCTAGGAAATGCTTTCACGCTTTGAGTACCCTAAACGCTAAACCGAGCACTTCGCGAACCTGGGTTCATGAATGACTCAGGGAAGCCAATGCCTCCCTTCATGTGGCAATGGAGTGCGACATACTGTAGCTTAAATCATCTTATATAATGCTCTACAACTTAATCCAAAGGATAGGATATCTTCCATGGGAGTTGAGCTTTCCCCAAGGCTCCATGTGCCCATTAAGCCTTAAAGGGCTCCCTTTATAGGTACTTTAAGGCCTAAGTATCTACTATATGGGTACATGGAGCCTTAGGGTTTGTGCATCAAATCGTTTCGTGCGTCCAGGCGCTGGACGTGGGAAGCTTCTGCCCGGTCTGCCGACAGCAGGTGAAGCACGTGGACACAGGCTTCGGGTTTAGGGTTTAGGGTTTAGGGTCCAGGGAACCTGTGAGCCCCCCTTCTCCGCACCAAAAACGTGCTAGACTGTAAACCCTAAAGATCCCTAAACCGTCAAAGGAGCCAGTACGCAGAGCACGCCACCGCCTGGAAGGTAAAACCCGATTTCAGGCAAACCTTTGAGATCATGCAGGGTCCTTAGTAATTAGAACAGGGTTTGGGGTATATTATACTATAAGTATAATAAGGAACCCCCAAAACTCTATTGAAATTAGTAAGGCTCCTACATTAAAGACAATCGAAATCGGGCATCGGGCCTACAAAGCCCAAGAAATCATCGGGCGTGGGCCGGATCATATACACGGAATCCTATAAATTGTCGGGCTCTCACAGCAAGAAGGGTTTTTGTTGATCGATCGGATGTGTACACTACTCATATAGAGCAGGAACGCGGGTCGAGCTGAGGACTCTTAACTCCTCAGAGAGCTGCAATAAACTTCTACGATGCATGACCAATGCACACTGAGTCGTACTTGCAGAATTGCAGAGTTTTTAAATAACTGTAGGCATAAGACAAAGAAGCTGTATGCTCCAGCACCGGTTTGGGGTCCTAGCGTTGAAGTGACGGCAAGGCGCTGTGCATGTTTCAGTTTTACCTACGAACCCGATCATGTTTGGGGTTAGTACCTGAGAACACCTTAGGATCAAGATGTTTAGGAATGGGGTTGAGGGGTAAGGATCAAAGCGATTAAGGATCAGGGTTGAGAGGTTGCAGGTAAGGGTTAACTGTTAACGGAATACAGATTCGAGTCGGTTGTTGCGCAGATGTTCGGGATGTTGCATGTTCCTGGCTTTTTGCACAGCTTCACAGAGTAAGCAGTGGGAAGAGAGACGACGCCTCATCCGGTTGCAGGACTGCGGATCCTGCGCATCTATGGGGCAGACATCGAGAAACAGGACCGGGCCTGCTTCAGATGCATGGGGTTCGAGTTGTTCATGTTCTGACGGTGAAACTGAATCTCCAGTTTGGGGAGCTCTTGATGCGTAGTAGGTTGAGGAAACATCCTGCAAGCTTCTGGAGCGAGGGTGGCCTCGGTACGTGCTAAGCCCCAACCCTCAGATCATATGCCCGAGCTGAGTCCCAAAACATGCTGAGGCCTTGAACACCGACTGCGACACCCGAAAGACGTTATAACCTCAAAATCCTAACCTGGCACCGACATAACCAAGCCTCCTTAGTCCCGATTCCTGAGATGTTGACCAGAACCCCGAACCCTCATCTGTACAAGCCGGAAGCCCTAAACTCCCAAACCCCTATAGATAAGGTTTAGGGTTTAGGGTCTAATTCTTAGTGTTCCTTAGTATAGCTCTAGTATCATAGCCTTTATCAAGACCTTCGTCTAAGGTACTTCTACTAACCCCTTCTAGTAACCCTTATAGACACTTTTGGAAGTCATCTACACTGGACCTTATTCCAATCACTAAGGCCCCAAAACTAAACCCTTATAGTAATCCGTATAAAAACCCTTCGAAGGAGCCCTTGACGGGACCCTTACAGGAAAATCACAAAGGCCCCTTTCGTCGTAAAGCCTGGCCACGAAGGAGTTTCCCGTACCGAAGCGTTTCCTGGCAAATACTTAGACGGGTAGAGCCCGTTATTCAGGGATCTCTAAGGGTTCCACAAGGGATCTGTATGGGCTTTGGGTTTAAGGTTTGGGGCTTAGGATTTAGCATTCGTTCAAGGAACTGAGTAACTAGGCTTATCAGGCCTTACTGGTTGGACTAAGTTCTTGGTGTACAATATACTATAATTAATTTGGTGCCAGTCATAGACTTCGCCCTAAGAGCCCAGTTGCCTATGTATAAAGTTACTGGGCTTTGGGTACTAAAATGCTTATATCGGGCTCAGGGACCTCATCTCACTATACGGGTTTGGTTTCCCAGGGTAGGGTAATCAGTACCGTAATTAGGGTCACACGTAGATATGCCTATAGCCAGTACTTTCGCTAAGGAGGCCTTTGCGACATTTTATGTTTTCACTTATTGAGCCTAAGAAGATCTTATTTACGAAAAGATTCAGAGGCCTTACAGGGCCGACAGAGATTAGAAGATACAGCCAAGGCTGGGGCTTGGTAGCAGCATGATCTCGGGCTCTGCAATAATCAGCAGCAATATCCACAACATGGTTCATATACAGCTGCTGTTGGCTATATACCCGAGGCACCCATATTTCAGCATCCTTGAGGGATCAGGACAAGTTTCTGCATCAAAGTTCTAGACGCTGAACCCAGCTCTACAAGCTCGCAACCGAGGTTCATCCGCAGCTACGACAAACATAAGCATCTGCAAGCAAGAAGCAGAAAGAAAAGCTTAGAACATAAGAATAGAAACGCATGCTTTCTGGGGGCTTCGGGCTGCTGCCTCAGATTTTCTTTTCTGGATGTCAAGCTCTTGGGCTGTGGGCACTGCAGGTTCTGGGCTTTGGGACTTGAAATCTAAGCTCAACGTGCCTTAAAAAGCCAGACCCTAAGCCGTGGACCCTGTCAGCCGTAAACCCGGAACCGAAAGCCCAAAGCCGTCTGCCTGGACCGAAGAGCCTCTAAACCCTAACCCCAACCCTACACCAGAGGAAACGAGCACATTGGCATTGATAACCGGAAGCCGGTGCAGGTACCTGAGGCTCCGTGGGCAGAGACGGTCTGTAGGGGTCTTTGTTGCAATGCAGTTTTGGGGTTCAGGGTTTTGGGGTCCATAAGGCTCGGCTAAACAGGTCTTGCTGTGGGGGGGCATTCCTGAGCAGCTACCTCTTGCAGGCTAAGGCTAGGTGTTGACGGGACAATCGTCACTGATTGGGACATTGTTGTTGCCCTCCGGGACTTTCGACTACATAGTACACGTAAAGCAGTGTTCTATGTGTGTGTGTGCATATACGTATAGCTTTATACAATAACTCGGAAAATGCTCCTAGTTACAAAGATCATCACAGGGCTGGAGCAAACACACTCTATATTTATATAACCATATATATATATACACATATAACTATATATATATATATATATTGTTTATACATACGGGGGTAAAGACGGAGATAAAGATAGATACTGTGATACATATGACGATAAGACTATGCAAATGATAATGGTGTAGTGCCGCGCGGTATGATGCAAGATGTACTAGTGCACTACGATAGCATAGGTTACACATATGTGCTGTATAAGCCTCGTAGTAACAATAACCATAACAACAAACACATAATTTGGCAAACCTATGTTGCATGTACACACAAGTATGTACATAATGTGTACAAATACACATACGTGCTATGTAGCTGTGATATCCCCAAAAAACCCACCGGTTTGTCTCAAAACACCCAAAGCAGCTCAAGGCCAGCAAGTTCGAGGCTTAAACGTTTCAGCAGGTTTAGAATTTAGGGTTCAACTTGCACGGTTGTCTGCATCTTGTTTGGCTTTGACAAGCATGTCCCACCCAGAGCAGGTTGCACTTCATCACTTTAGACTGGACAGGTAGGCCATGTCAAATGTCTTTGGCGAGATGTTCTTGCTCTACGAGCAAAGGTCCGTAACCCAATGATAGTCGAGGTCGTCACAGGAGCGTTGTGTCGTCAGGATGTTTTTGAGTCTTTTCTGGTTTCTGTTCTCTCTTCTGGTGTTGACGGTGTATTCCGACTTCCCCGTTTCGCTGGCATACATCGACAACCATGGCGACGAGTTGGACAACAAGGTGTGCCCTGCGAGTTTACGACTCGCTACTTGGAGGGTCATTCAGGAGACATTTCGCGCGCTATCAGTGTGAATGTGTTCAAGTTAGCTTTGTTTTGGGTGCTCCTAAGCCTGCTTGTAATGTGCTTGTTCAGTCCCCCCCCCCCACCCCACCCCCTAAGCCCCACCCCCCGTGAATTGAAAGATGCATGTGAATCGGCATATTTGGAGTCGCTCCACAGCATTTTGCTCTCAGGGAAATCTCGGTAGGTTCTGCCATGTGCACGTCATGGCGTGCCGAAGCCGCCGCCTTTGGATGCCTCGTCATCTCAACCATCCTCGTGATCGCATCTAGGTCTCCCAGTGGACCCTTTTTCCCTTTTTGAAGTCTTTGGTTCTTTATAAAGGTACGCAATACCAAACGGGAGCTCTCTTTGTTACTGGTCATCCTAGGCATCAATCCCCGTCCTTCAGAAAGTCGAGCTGGATTGCGTCGCGAGAAACTGCTCTTCCGTGTGTTTCGAGTCGAACTACACAGGCTTGGTTGAATGTCAGAACGAGTTCGACTGGGACACGTGCCGCAACTCGCCCAAAATGTACGTGTGCTTCGAATTGTGGCAGGAGGGACTCCGGGTTAAGGAGCAATGCGAAGCAAGCCAATGCTTCTTGGGGGAGGTGGACGCCGCAGAGGTGACCTATCGAGCAAGCCAGCTGGCACTGTTACTGTCTTTCTTGGCCGCTGCCAGCTGCTCATGTTTTAAGAAGGGGGCATGCAACTGTCGTGGCGCACAAGTCTACACCAGGCAGGCGCTGTTGGCAGTGGGGAACTGCTGCTTAGTTCCAAGCATGCTCATGGTCCTCTTGTACTTCGTGCTGCCGAGAAGCTTCTTCTATCCTCCCAGCTATGCTTTTGTCGGGGTTCCCATCGAGTTGTTCGTGACCGTGCCTCTTGTCTGAGCCCTAAACCCCTAAACCCGAAACCCTAAACCCCTAAGCCCTAAACCCCAGCTTTGGCGGCCCCTAGCCGAACATTCTTCGGCCTTCGCCCCACCACAAGCAGTCCTGATAATATCCACTCCGGGATCCTCAACACGGCTCGCCACCTGCAGATCAGGGAAAGCAAAGGGACCCCCGATTTTGTACAGAATCCCACCTGCACCAGAGTCCGAAACTGACACGGACAGAAACTTAGGCTGTAAGCTCCGATACCCTGCACCCCTCACGCAGAGGTTTGGTCTCGGGATTGGGTGGATGTTATTGAACAACTTATCGGTGTAGGGCTTAAGATTTTTGGGTCTTGGGGCCTCATGTTTAGGGTCTCGGACTATGAGGTTCTGGAGGGGAGACCACCCAGAGACTCCAATATCCCTTAATTAAGGAATATACCTTAAATTATAGTCATATGATTTAAGGTATATTCCTTAATTAATGGATACTGGAGTCTCTGGGCAGTTTAGATCTGAACAGCCAGGTTTTCGCTCGTGACCTTTGCGGCGTGCGCTTGCCTGGGCCTGGCACGCATGCAGAGCAGACGCTGGCTGAGCGAAAAGCCAGAAGATGTGGCGCCGGAGGCTGAATTCAACGGTTTAGGGTTAAGGGTTACAGTACGGATAGGGTCGAGAGTGTAGGGCTGGGGTTTAATGGTTGAGGGTTCAATACCAATGTAAAGGCTTGGCCTCATTCGTAAAGGGGTTTTGTATGGGTCTGTCATGGCATGGCGCCGTAGAATCGCGAGGCAGACCTTTGGCAAGACTTCGTGACGGGACAAGATGATGGTTTAGTGTAGACTACCCTAAGGGTCCTTGTACCCAAAAAGTATATACCTTGGCCCCAAAGTACCTATATAGAGACTACTTTATGGCCAAAGTATCTGCTTTTGGGTACATGGACCGTTAGGATTATACCTGTAGTGGGTTCGCTGACAGAAGATGCCGCGAATATACGCGAAAAGGCAGCGTCGTAGCAATCAGTAGATGGCCCTACCAACTTAAAATGGTATGTGCGAGTTTAAGACCACTGGGAAGTGCAGTGGCGCCGTACCCCCGAGATCCTATGTTTTGGACATGTGGCCTGCCACTGGGTCCTAGTTACTCTGTTTAGTTTATCCCAGTTGCAATTCAGGGTCTGGCTTCTGCCATTGAGCAGCACCAGACTAGCCGGGTGCGACCAAGTGCGACGTCGGCTTTTACGAGGTCGCACCTGGTCGCGCACATCCCCGTCCGAATCGAACCTTGCGAAGCTTAAATCTTTTCTCCCCACACCTTTGGCTTTGGCAATCTTCCCCATGGCACACAGTGCGCAGGAACACCATCAGCACCGCATCGCGAACGAGTCGGGGTGCCCCGGGCACCCCGTCGGAAACGAACGGGTGTGCTGGGCACCAATAGGAAACGAGTCGATGTGTTGGGCGCATCCTATCGGAAACGAGTCGGGGAAACGGTCCGGACACCTTTCGGACCAGGTCGGAAACCTTCTTACATCGTTGCGTCGGGACCTCCATCTGGGTGCCCCACAATACTCGCGCTTCTTAAAGTCTTCTGGGCTTTGCTCTGGATTGTTTATGGCTTTTGGCCATACCGTGCGAAATTTCCTCAAAGGCTATTTTCCTGGTCTAGTTGTAACTGTGCAAGACATGGTGAAGGCACAAGGTCATTCGTTTTTTAGAAATCATGATACTTATCAACACAATAACTTCCAACTTAACTTGGGCAACTGCTCCAAAAAGGGAAGAAATCAGCCCCTTTGCAACAGGCTCCAATGCACTTCCCAGACAAGCGGATTCCTAATGTAACTAGTGTCGTAGAGAACGTTTGCGTTTTTTGGACTTCACAAGCCTTGATAACAAACATCCATAGCAGCATGGAACTTCCAGACATGCCCGAATGAGTGTGGAGCAGAACTTGCGCAGGTGGCAGGGGTGCCAGTGCAAGCTTCGCAAGCTGTCGTGGAAGTTTGAGAGATTCCTGAGATGCATGCGAGCTTGACCATCGAGAATTAGGACGTTTGAGCAACTCTCTTAGCGCCATTTGGTCGGTTCGCTTCTGGAGCATGTTTACTTCGGACGAGGCTTTGATTTAGGGGTTTCGATTTTTGGTAAGCTTCGCTCAACCGTCATTGCCTTGCCAAGTGTACAGATCGAAAGCGATTTGGAAGCATCGACCTGCAAACGCAGGGTTCAGACTGTGCACACTCGAGCCGCTTCCGGTGCACTACAGACGTTCCGGCCTTCAGCACACTTGAAAGTTGTGTGCGAAGGCATCGGAACGTAACGTTATCCCATCCGCGGATGTAGACATGTTGAGAGATCAATGGAAAAGCCTTTTACAAGAATTTGCGCAGCTGCCAGATGGAATCCTCCCAGAGACTCCAATACCCCTTAATTAAGGAATATACTTTAAATCTTACTAGAGATCCTACTATAATTTAAGGTATATCCCTTAATTCAGGGGTATTGGAGTCTCTGGGTTCTGTGTCTCAGAATTGGATGGCCATGTCTAGCTCAGCAGTCATGAAGGCCCCGAAGCTGCAGGTCTCTGGATCTTTAAGAGTCTTTCTGCGACCTTATGGCACTCCTGTGTAACCATGAGATTCGGAACGCAGCAATCCGATGCAGCCCACAATCGAGGGAATGTGCACATCTGCGTCAAACATGTGGTTTAAGACTGTTTTGCGATATGAGAAACCAAGTGAAACAGCTTTCTTTATTCAAGCGCATGCCCTAAAGCCTGAATGCCTTGTCACGCCAGGTCGATGACCTCGACTACCTGCACGTTGCCTCGGGGATTTGGCTTGTAGCGGTAAATTCAAACGATAGTATCACTATAAGGGTCACCTATGGGCTTTTGGTGATACGGTAAGGGTGGCCATAAGGGATACTGTCAGTTAAAAAGAACCATGAGGGCTATAATGGGGATCTATACTGGTTTAGCTCCCTTGGACTTAAACCGCTGGTTGTGGGCTGGTTTCAACTTAGACTTGGCATTTCGGAGTTTATCAAGAGCATCAGCAGCGGCTCAGTTGGGTAATGGTGCTCCATCAAATCTAGCAGTATATAGATTAAAGAAGACGTGAATGAATCTAGTGCTTCTGCATGAGTTGGGATGAGCACACCAACCTAACACATATTGTACAGTTGACTACCCGTCCTAGAGCATCGTTTCAGGTCATGCCTAAACCTGAAGTGGTGCACGACAGTGTGAACTGCCTCCGAGGGCCCAATGGCCCAAAATGTATACGGCCCGTCGCGACGGCCGGGCAGGACATGCGGCGATTTGCGTTGCACTGGCGCTGCCACGCCGCAGTTGAAGGGGAGCGACCTTGGCTGAGCTTGAGCTACTGTATGAGTATGATTCAAGACAAGCCTGGTTTTTCACTTGGGTGTTATTCCGGATCCTAATTCGATGCCGGGGCTTCTTGATCAGGTTCTTACATTACCTAAGGGAATGTGGCATTTAGGAAGTAATTCGGTTTTGGGTGAGGGCTGCGAGACTTGTTGCCAAGGGCTGCCCCAGGCTTCGGGGCAACACGACCGCAACGCCTGAAACCCAAAGCCCTATACCATCTCATCCCTCGAACATCCCCTAAACCCTAAGCCATGTAACATCTCTGAACTGTAGGCCGGCATGTGTCGTGCCAGTTCATGGAGCTAGCTCAAGTCTAAGGTAGAACCCATGGGCCCCTAGTATGGGCCCTTAACTCTGGGACCCCAATATACCGACTATATACCCTATATATACCCTTAAGGGACCCTAGAATCCCCTAAGGGCCCATGTTAGGGGCCCATGGGTTCAACCTTAGATCAAGACGACCCTGAATCCTGAAACCCTCAAAGCCTCGCAGACAAGCAACACCCAACAGGACAGATACTGTTGATAGACAAAATTCTGCATGACCCAAATATAGTATAGTACCATAAATCCCATAGATTAGGTATATAAGGTCATGCAGGATTTTGTCCATCAACCGTATGCCCTAGCAGGACTCCGAAACCGTTAATTAGGGATCCCTGGCGCCTCATAGCAGGTATATTTAAGGGTATGCTGTAGAGGATACTGTAGGGGCCCACACAATTACCCTTGCTATTTAGGGTGCTCTTCTTAGTAAAATTATAGCATAATATAGCCCAAATCCTTTTTTGATTATTAAGGATCCTCTTTTAGACGGAGGGTCTAGGTCTAGGTATAGAAGCAGCAGGATTTCGGACTGCCTGGCTTGAAGGTCTTCGAGTTCCGGGGTCCAGAAAGCGGATTTAAGTTTAGGGGTTTGGGGTTTAGGGTTTAGGGTTTGAATTAGACATGGCTTATTTTTTTTTGCGAGGGGTTTAGGGTTTAGGGTTTGAATTAGACATGGATATTTGTTTTTTTGGGGATGTAGATAAAGGGGCGTGTTCGAAAGTTAGCGGGAACTTGAAGGGGGGGATGAAAGCAAGGCGTTGCAGTTTACTTCTATGTTTCAGGTGTTTGGCATGGGTTCGCAATTCTGGGAATGTAACTACCCCAATGGCATCTTTATGTAATTCAGAGCATATTTGTGCTGCGAACTTGGGTTTAAGTTGCAGCGTGACAGCTTCGCAGTGGAGGTCGAACTTCTTAACATCCGCTGCTCTTAAACACTAAAGCCCTAAACCCGGAACCCCCTGAACCCCTGAATCCTATCCCCTATGTCGGTGATTTGTGGCGAAGCTTGGGATAGTCAATCTTTATCAAACCTGTCGGCGACCTCAATTTCAGATTCCTCTACATATAACATCTTCCAATGATGCAAAGGACTCAAAGTTGCCATCCTTTGAAACCCTCTCGCCAGGCCAGCGTCAGCCGCTGCCGAGCGAACACGTCGAGCGTGTCTCGTCCAAGAAACGTGTTACGCTACCGGCCTCTTGTGTTATTCAAAACCCAGATGTTTGTTTGAATAAGTGGCAGTGTGAGTTCGGTCGTTTTCCTGTAGGGATTAGTACGTACGTTTTTGGTTGCCACGTCGTACTTTGAACACTGTTGAAGTTGATCCTGAACCTAAACCCTAAACCCCAAAACTCTAAACCCATAACTTGCAGAACGTATAGCTCGGAGGCAGCTCAGCAATAAGATCCGCTGGCTTCGTTTGTGAAGAGCTTCGTGGTTTGCTCTTGAATCTTTCTGTCAAAGCCCCGAAGCCGCAAGCCCTAAAACATAGTTTAGGGGTTTGGGGTTGAGGGGTTTAGGGTTCAGGGTTTAGGGGTTTGGGGTTGAGGGGTCTAGGGGTTCAGGGTTTGGGATATAGGGTTCAAGGTTTTTTTCGGTTTGGGGTTTCAGGTACAGCGCCATGATGAAGCACGGTACCGGAGGCTTGGTCGATGCGTTCTCTTTTGGGCAGCATGGAAGTTTGGCAGCAGTTGAAAGGATTCAGTTTCTGGGTTATGGGGCTTAATGTAGGGGCCTCAATAATTACCTATACTATTTTAGGGGTTTCTTATTATGCTTTTTGCATAACCCTAGGGCTCCAGTTGCCAACCTCAAAATCTAAAGTCCCTCTTATATGTTCTCTGAAAGTTCAAGAGAAGCCTATCTCGTCTGCCCTTTTGAAAATCAATCAACACTTTAGGGTCGTTCTTGGGTGGAGGGTTTTCGGCTTTCGTCTTTGCTGTTCTTCGTTCTTTCGCTGTTTGAGGTTCAGGGGCCGTAGGCTTACCTGTTGAAAACCCGAACCCCGAAACCCTAAACCCCAAAACCTTCAAACCCTAAATCCCCAAAGCCCGAAAACCCCAAAGCCTTACCTAAAGGACCGAAAGACCCTTAAAAGTAAGGGCCCGATACCCTTGTACTATGAATCCCTATATGGTAAATGAACCTTAAACCCTAAAGCCCTAAAGCCCTAAAACCCAAAACCCTAAATCCCTCGAGCCTTGGTATATGAACCTTAAGCCCTTTAGGGTTCCTTTCGTCTTTAAGGTAAAACCCTAAACCCTAAAACTTCGCAAAACCCCCTGAAAGCCCTACTCTAAAGGTTCGACTTCCCTGAACCCTAACCCGAAGGCTCTATAGTGAACCCCGGAAAGTTGCAACATGGATTTAGGATGATTAGTGCTGGGATTCCCTCTACTTTACCTTAAGAGCATGAGGACAGTGATGTTCCAACTTACTTGCTTGCACTGTACTTGGAGGATCCTGGCACTTACTAACTATAGGGTTATAAATTAGGTGGCTATAACTATAACCCCCAATTAGGGTACTTAGAACCTTACTTAGTAAGTCCCGTGAACCTCCAAGTAAGGACTCCTAAACCCTAAACCCCAAACCCCAAACCCTAAACCCTAAACCCTAAACCCTGAACCCTGAACCCTGAACCCTAAACCCTAAACCCTAAACCCTAAACCCTAACCCTAAGGCTCTAAGGACTCCTCTTTTAGGGTTCCTTTCGTCTTTGCGGCAAAAGCCCTAAACTAAACTCATAGCAGGCCCCCGCTTCGACCAGCTGCGCCGGAACTACCAGATAGCGCCTGGTCAGCTTGGGGGTTCAGGGTTTAAGGGTTTGAGGGTTTAGGGTTTAGGGGTTTAAGGGTTCAGGGCTTAGGGTTTAAGATGGGTTTAGGATTTTTAGGGTTTAGGGGTTGCCGGTTTAGGGGCTTTGGGTCTATAAGGTTTAGGGTTAAGGGGTTTAGGATTTGTAGGGTCTAGGATTTATAGGGTAGGGTTTAGGGGTTTATGGGTTCAGGCTTAGGGTGCTTGGAGGATCGGGGGGCTGACGTAGTTAGAATCGGTCTTTGGGGTACATTAGATCTTTGGGGTTACAATTTAGTTACAATGAGAAGCAGTAGCCTGGTCAGCAAGATGGGTTCCGGGTTTCGGTGTTAGGGTTCGGCGTCCCTTATGTAGCGGGCTCTTTAGAAACCTAGTAGTACCCAACATCCAATAACTTAGTGTAGGCGACTGGGGGGCTCCTTAGAGAAACTTCCTAGGTTCCCCAGTAGTACTCTGCTACCCTTTTTGCTTGCAGGCTCCCGTATGAACAAACAACTGAATGGTGGGAAAAAGTGTAGTATAGGGGCCTTCATAAATACCATTAATACTACTTTGGGGTTCCTTAGTATNNCCCCCCCCCCCAAACCCTCGTCGAATTATGAAGGCCCCGAAAGTACTCTCTGGGGACACAGGGGGACCTGCTGTTGGCCTCGCCCATGAAGCCGCCTCCTCACGAATCCAAGCCCCTAGCACGATTCCGTTTCAAAGAGTCGCCCTAGTCCTCGACGAGCTTCACCTCACTCGTCTTCCTCTGCAGAATCTGGGGTTTAGGGTTTAGGGTGAGATTCAAGGTCTAGGGTCTGTCGCCTATGCTCAGAGTTTTAAGAGCTTACAGGCTGGTTCCCCAAGCTCTAGCACAACCATGGACGACTCCGATGAGAGTAGCCTACACAGCTTGGAAGCATCAATGCGCTGGGCTGTAGACATATTCAAAGGCTTGCAGCGCACCATTTTTTGCTATTCAAACCGGTGAGGCCCGGTGAAGGTTGATTGTTTGGGCATTTTTATTGGGTCACGGAACAAAGACACGCCTTTGGTGATTCAGTGGTCGACCATGACGCTGCTTTGAGATCAGACTTACGCCCTACCCGAAGATTCCAAATAGTGAAAAGTAATTACTTCTATAGACATTAGATCCCAAACGACCCTACCAGTGCTACATCTTCATAGGCAGAATGATAAAAATAACGCTAAAAAGAGAACGCAAGGCTATTTGACCTTCCCCCCAACTTGCGTGGAACCCTCGAACTGCTCGCCCCAAAAGCTCTGGGGAGAGTCCGCACGAATAAGTGCTAAAAGGCATTAAAAGGGACCCTAATTTAGCAAACT